TAGATGTTTGTGGGAGTTTTGTAGTAGTCTAAGCAAGACAAACAGAGGCCAGATACAAGGCTGGAAAAGGCATGGGGAATAGAGAATGGGTTTGACACTCAGGTAGAAATGGTGATGACAATTGTTGGTACCATTTAGGACTATCCCTGGGCATTAGTCAAGGGCTCCATGGGAGTGAACTCACTCCAACTTCTAATTAGCCCCTTTTACACATGGGGAAACTGAGGCATGGGGTGATTGCTGAGGTCTCAAGCTAGTAAATAGCAAAATGAGAATGTGAACCCAGGTGCCTAGCTCCCCAGCCCACCTCTCAGCCTGAAGCTCAGAGCATAGCTCCTTGACAGTCACCAGGGCCTCCCCTCCCCACAGGGTGCGATACCTGGGAGTAGGAAGCACTGACCCTTTCCTGCCTCTTCCCAGGGTAAGGGCTCCATGGAGGGTCAGCTGCACCACTGACTTCACTCCTCCCAAACCAGTGCTGCCCTGCAGGTCTGCTCCTTGGTGCCTCTGCACTGAGTCCGCAGTCACCAGCTTGTCCACATGGTGTCCTTGAAACAGAACAGAAAGGGATCCCATCTCTCTCTCTCTCACTCTGCACTCCTCCCAAGGCTGGTGGGATGTTTGGTCCTGGGAACACGGGGCCTTTAAAGCTCAAGCCCAGCCACTCCTAGCCCCTTCTTGTTCTATAAAAAATTGCAGAGAAAGCATGGATGCCCATGTGAAGCATGGCCCTAGGCCCCTCTTTAGTAAATTGGAGCTGCAGGCTGATGCAGTGCTGTGTTTCTAAGTTCATTCTAGCTTTCCTGAAGTAACAAGAATAAATACACTAACTGCTAGTGAGGGTCTTGGAGCAGAATCAGGAAATGAGTTTCCTGAGACACCCCATGTAAGTGCCTGCTGATGTGACTGCAGCATCTGTTTAGACTCTGGGAGCTCACAGGCTGCAGGATAAGCTCACCAGCCCTTATCTCTCGTGGCGGGTTAAAGTGTAACCCTGCTGGGCACCACCATGGCCTTTTAACTGCCTTGATGGCGTGGGACAGGGACCCAGGACTGGAATTTTATCTAAGCTCAAATGGGTCTAATCTCCTTGTGCCCAAATTATCTCTGTCTGGAGACCCTCTGGCCGATGAGCTATAAACTGCACCTTCTCCCCTTCCAGGCCACTCCCAGACTGGTGCTGAGTGGGGCCTCGCATGTGGAAGGCACGCTGGCCAGCAGGCTGGGACGCTGGGGTGGGGCTCAGTCGGGTTATTAGATTTATGTAGGCTTTGCAGGAGTACAGGCCAAGGGCTGGATTTTGTTGTGCTGTGTACGGGTGTCTATGTGCATGCCTGTGCATGTTTATGTCTGTATGTGTTGTGTATGTATGTCTGTATATGTCTGTATGTTTGCGTATGTGTGCATCTGTGTGCGTCTATGTGTTCTTTGCCACTCAGAACCCAAGACTTTGGCTTAGTCTTATGCAGCAGGTACAGGAGCTGTGGTACCGACGGTGGTCTGGGGGCTCCAAGGACTTGGTCTGGGAAGCAATGAGCTGGACCTCTGGACCCTCTGGATGGTCTAACAAGGCCATCATGTGGGTTCCAGGACAAAAAGAGGCTTGCCCATGGACGTGTCTGAAATGGCTGGCACAGCATCGGTGCTCCAGACCATCAGCCACTGTTGTATTCACTCGCTCACTCATTCATTTTCACCTGTTGTGAAAATGTGTCCTGGGTACCAGCCTGTCTGCTAAGCATTTAGAGAGGCAGAGTGAAAGGTAGGCATGTAATTAAGCTGAGATGCCCTCTGAAGTTCTCTATATGGGTTTAGTGAACTTATAAAAAACACAAACTTTAGATAAAGACCTGGGTCCCCTGTATGGGACTCACTGGCCACAAAGGGAGCCTCCCTCAGACATTCACTGAATGAATGAGGAGTCACAGGTAGAAGAAAGGAGAGAGCAGGGGGAAGGGCCCTAAAAGCAGGGACAGAGAGGGAGGAGAAGAGGGCCCATGGGCCAGCACAGCCCAACATGCAGTCTTCTGAGTGGTAAGACCTTGTCATATTTCACATGTAGAGGCCCTGCTCTTTATAAGAGACAGCGGACAAAACACAGAACACAGCAACTATCACAGGATCAGAGACGGAGGCTGAGGCCAGGAGCCAGGCTTCAGAGGGGGGCCCAGTGTGAGTCAGTCCATGTTTGGAAGACTTGGCAAAGCTATTCCTCTTCTTACTCCCTCTCCGCCCACATCATTCCTGATGGGGAACTGCTGTTCCCGGGAAGAAACTCTCTTCTGGAACAGACTGGCTGCTTTAGCCTCATTTCCTGGCACTGCAGCAGTCTCAGGAAGGGAAGCATCTAAGTTGGACAGCTTCACAGTGCTCAGGAATGTTCTCAATGACAGGGTTGGGGATTGTCTGGGATGCTCAGGAGTGTTCTCAGTGGCAGCACTGAGGATGCTGAGGAGTGTTGTCAGGGTTGGGAATGGTTGTGGTGCTCAGGAGCGTTCTGAGTGACGGGGTTGAGGATGGTCTGTGATGCTCAGGAGCGTTCTGAGTGACGGGGTTGAGGATGGTCTGTGATGCTCAGGAGTGTTCTCAGTGGTAGGGTTTGGGATGGTCCGTGATGCCCAGGAGTGTTCTCAGTGACAGCATTGAGGATGGTCAGTGATACTCAGGAGTGTTCTCAGTGACAGCATTGAGGATGGTCTGTGATGCTGAGGAGTGTTCTCAGTGGCAGGGTTGGGAATGGTCGTGGTGCTCAGGAGCGTTCTGAGTGACAGGGTTGGGGATGGTACCTGATGCTCAGGAGTGTTCTCAGTGACAGCATTGAGGATGGTCTGTGATGCT